TGTGAAGGAAGAAATAAGTGCTTACATGAAGAAAACTACCACTGCAAAACACTTACAACATGAGCAATTTGATGAAATGGTCGAACATGGTGCTTATTTTGGGAGCGAGAGTGGAAAGGTCTCTTCCTCCACTATACATAATAGAGGTGCACGGGGTCCTATGAATCAGTATATGACTAATCGAGGAGCGGATAGAGGAGAAGCAGAGATGATGCCTGCAGTTGGTACTAGAGAGGGTCGGCGACAGGTTTGCATAGACATTGGGAGGTTTTTTTTAGAATGCAATACCATTTAATGTTGCTACATCGCCTGCCTACTTCAGTATGTTGCGGTCTGTAGGATTGTATGGAAGAGGGTTGAAAGCACCTTCTATGTATGAGTTGCGCACTTGGATTTTAAAAGAAGAGTTGCAGAACACCGAGCGAACCATTGGTGAGATTAAAAGGACATGGATTGAGACTGGTGTGACTATTATGTCAGATGGATGGTCCTGACATGAAGAGCAGGATCTTGATTACATCCTCTGTCAAACATCCCTATGGCGCGCGTGTTCTTACGATCAGTTAAAGCTTCAGATGAGGTTGAAAAGCTACATTCATTTTTCAATTTACTGGAGTTATTGAGGAGATTGTCGAGAGCAAATTGGTTGTCCAGGTAGTAACTGATATGCCAGTGCATTACCAAAGCGCAAGCTGGTTCAATGATGTTATGGAGGGAAGAGACAACACCTATATTGGACACCCTGCCAAGCACATTGTATTCGATCTCATTGGAGGATCTTGTGACTTACACCTCAGCCAAAGAGTTGCTTTTTTCTAAGGGCGAAGAAAATTACCAAAGTTCATCTACAATCCTCTTGGGTTCTTCAAGCTTGATGAGAAAGTTTTCAAAGAAAAGAATCATTCGCCCTTCAACACTAGGTATGTTCTTAATTTTGTAAATATCATATCATTCTACTGTATGTTCATAGTTCTTACATTTGTTGCACTGTGAATCTATAGGTTTGCCACCTCCTATTTTGACACTACAGAGCTTTATGGAGGTACGGCAACCTTTGGAAGCACTCATGTTTACATCAACTGAATGGCTTAAATCTTGCTTGGGGAAGAAAAGCTGAGGGGAAGGAAGATAAGAAAGATAATTCTAATGATAAATTTTTGGGCTACTGTGACCTATGCTTTTGAGCACGAGACCCTTAATGCAAGTTTCTACGCTTTAGCTGGATGCAAAGGAAGAAACCAGCTATTGTGTTTTATTTTAACGCTAATGGATGAGGCCAAGGAGTTTGATTGCACACAAACTTGGGAACGGGAAGAGGAGGTCAGTTATAGGGAAGATTTGGGATATCGTTGATGCTCGGCTGGGAGGTGGCAGTTACACCCATCATCTACATGCAGCGGCATTAATCTCAATCCTCAATTTCAATATTCAGAAGAAGAAATCTTCAAATCCGGAGGTGAAGCTTGGTCTATATTCATTTGTATGGAAAAGACTAATACGGAGCAGCAGATAAGGACTTCAGATTTACAAACTTGTTTCATGTTCAAGAATAGAAAGAGGGTTTTTTGGTTTGAATGCAGGCAAAACAACCATTTTCTAAACGGTCTCCAGGTATAATTATTTTGGCAAAATACAACACTTTATTCCAGTTCTGATTATATTTTTTCTGAAAAACAGTTGAATGGTGGATTCCAATTTTGGTGATTCCACCCTGGGTTACAAAAAGTTTTGCCTGGTAAGGTGTGGGCCTCACTTGTTCTCTTCTGGGTGTGGAGCGGAAACTGGAGTACATATATTCAAGTGCAAAACAAGAGAAAGAAATCGGCTATCTACACTCAGAATTGAACTCCCTCGTATATATAATGCACAACAAGAGGTTAAGGATAGGAGGTTGAGGAATAGGGGTTGAAGGATGATGAGGACCCATTGGTGGTTGTTGTTATGATGATGTGTCCATCTGATAATGAGTGGTTCCATAGATGATGAGACAGAATTTCCATTATCAAGACTTACAGCTAGAAGATCTAAATTGTGGATGTCTTGAGGGGCTGAAGCAGATCAAGGTGGTGCACATCTATCTAGTACCAACCACACACATCCAACTAGCTCTGCAGCAACAAACAATCAAGGGTAAAGGGTATTGCCACAAGCTTCTTATAATGCTTATCGTCAGTATATTTATATATCAAGTGAGTCAATTAACATGCCTAATGATCTTTTCTCTTATTGAACAGGAGGGGGGGGAGAGAAAAGTGAGTTCATATTGAAGATGATGATGACATGACATTCATGATACAATTGTGAGAAGAGATTCACTTGAAAACCCATTTGTGATGGGATATGATTGCATTTTATAATGTTTTTTGTATTTTGGAGTTTTGTTTAAACTAATATTTTTGTGATTTTGTACTTTGGGACATGATTTTATTGCATCTACTTTCTTTAACTTTCCACTATTTTCATTATCATTAGATGTTTTTATTGTAAGATACATATTGCTATTATTTTCCCTGCTAAAACCCTTAATTTTCCTTACCAATTCTGTGTCCGTGAGGCTTACGCTCAGCCGCCTCGAGGCTTAGCAAATTTACTCACCTCATGGACGAAAACCACCTCGAGGCTTAAATTTACGCAAATTTTAAACCTTGGTTTACTAATAAGAGCAGGATATTGCATTCTTTTGAAATTCCTCTAGCATATTTATTTGTACACATATAGATATTATATAATACAATGTGTAATGTTTAAATTGCGTAATTAGGTGGTTGAGTGCATTTTTTTGTTTGTGAGGCGAGACGTAAGCCTCAAGCATTTTGAGGCGTGAGCCTCAAAATAAAAAAATTGATGAATAAATACAAAAGTAAAATTATTAATATCCAAATAATATGTCTAAAAATTGATATCTTTCTACGAACTTGAAATAACACACAATTGAAATCATTTGAAACTAAAAAATTGTACAAGACGTTAAAAGTGCGCTAGTGATTAAATTGGGCATGAATATATAATTGAAATACAACAAAAAAAAATATGACATGAGCAAAAAAATTATTAAATTTATAGAAACTGCTAAAAAGTATCATAATAATATTAAGCTTAACTTTAACATTCCTTTCTTTCTCAGTTCCCTACTCATCTACTATTTTAATTTTCTAAAAAATAAGACAAAAGTTGGCAACACAAGAAAATTAATTTATATTGTTCATCACTAGGGGATCTTTATTTTAGTCTCATTATAACAAATTGATCTCTTGCCCATACCTTCTATTTTGTGACGTGAATCCAATGCCTCCTACTCCATATGCTTTTTTCAATTTATTTTAGCATTTCCTCTTTTCTAATATTTTCATCAACATAAAGATGAGATTAATCTCCAAAATTTTTAGACCCAGTGTAGTGCGTGTGCGGCATTTCAAGTGATCCTTGACGACTGGCTTATGACGTGGTGGCTTATGGCGAAGGCGACGGGTTAGAAGGTTCAGGCAGTGAGAGGAATTGCTGCAACTTGAGGTCAGCGAATATGATTTGTACGAGGCTTTACTCAGGATTTATAAGTTTAATATGTATATATATATATATTATATATATATATACTTATATTATATATATATATATATTTATATTTGTATTTTATTTAATATATTTTAAATATGTTTCCAATTATGAATTATTGATTCAATAATGGATATGAGGATATTCTGGATAAGTTATTTCCTACTCACTTGATCCTGATAGAAGTATTTCATGATAGACGTTAATAAGAAATATGTCTATTCCAATGCTCCTTTGTTACACTCTGGGTTGACTGTAAAGGGGTCAAAATATGGTGTGACACTTGGGGGGTCAAAGTAGGCAGACATTTTGGGAAGAGAGGGGATTGGGAGCGGCTATAATAGTGGGAGATCAGAGGAGTTGGAGAGGTGTGGTCATACATGTGTGAGCAGATAGTGTGAATGAGAGATGGAGGTATGAAAGAGGGAAATGAATGGGTGTTCAGTTGGGGAAAAAATGAGAGGAGCAAGTGACTAAGAATAGGTTAAATTAGATTTTTTTTTTTTTTTTGCAAATAGGCAACGTTCGCATCTGTGAACCATCATTTTTGTCATAATTCGATTGACTTACTGACGACTAGTTCTTTTTGGATAACTTCGACGGCCCGAATGCATCAACATAACTCATTTTGCTAATGAGCGACATTTGAGTGATTTCAACAGCAATCGAGGCTCTTTAAAGTTCATTTAGCATGACATCACATTAATTATACGCCGCTATTGCTGCTCGAATCGATTTTGGAACATATATGTATGTAAAAAAATATATGCATTCACAAATTTCAAACCTCAAGATGTCTTGCATCACAAATTCAATCACATGCTCACATAAAAGCTCCATACAAAATTGATACTCTATAAGGACAAGTAATTCTTTAACTAAAGGACATTATAAAGGATAAACATTAATAAATTAATAAATAGTAAGAATGCTCTCTCTAAATGCATGCAGTAAAACACAGATGGGTATAAAAATAGCTGAGGAAAAAGAAATGAATAAAGGAGCACATGCCAATTTTCCCAATTCCACTTAAACAATTTACTTGCAATCCAAATTAATAATCAACTACTATCAACTTCAAATAGGAAGAAAACATGCACATGCCCATAATCGAGCGAGGGTTAGAAAGAAATTTCATAAAGCATACAAAAGATTGTAACAGGAAGAGTAACCCGATAAACATTAGGAAATATCAAAATAATATATGCATAATCACATGAATATTGGACCAATGGTAAAGTAGTGTAATTAACTTAAAAGTCATGTTTGGTAAGATTAAAACATTTCAAGTTAAAACATACAAAAACATTACCTTAAATAAACTACGAATTCAGACAAATCAAACTTTTTCTTAAGACATATTAAACTACTGTAATCATATAGTAATGGGTGATAAATGCAAATTTTATATAGAGAGAAAGAGACCAGACGTAAGTGTTTGAAACTACCATAATAGGGAAAGCGTCAATTGTTTGAATAACTGTTCTCATCAAAAGCAGAGGAAGAGGCACTCTATCAACCTAAAAAAGACGTCATAATTAGAGTAGTTATTTCACACTGAAAAAGACCAAACAGATGATGAAAATGTATGCTTACCAAGCTGTTCAAGGATTTTTCTAGAACTTGCTGGGTGAAAACTGTTCGTTGCTCAAAACAAGCCGTACAAGCATCCGTTATCTGGAGGCATACAATTTATGTAGAGGCAAATTTAGCTATGTTAATTACTATTTTATTCCCTATTTAACTACAAATATGATAGCAAACCTTCTTTAGAGCAACCCCATCCTTATCAGGATTGATGTCATGAATTGCATTCAATACTTCAACAGGGGTTAAAGCTGGGCCTGTATGTGCTGAACCCTGGAACAAAAAGAAAATGACTAATGCATGAATTCTTTATATGACGTTTACCATTTCAAACATATGCTCTTTATATGATGATCAAAGTTTAAACCATGGAGGAGAAGATAATAGCGACCTATGAAAACTTAAGCATGTCACTGAAGAATTAATAAAAAAAAAAAGAAACCATGGAGGAGAAGATAATAACGACCTATGAAAACTTAAGCATGCCACTGAAGAATTAATTAAAAAAAAAAAAAAGAAACCATGGGGGAGAAGATAATAGTGACCTATGAAAACTTAAGCATGTCACTGAAGAATTAATAGAAAACAGAAAAGGAAAAAACACTTTAGTCCTCAAAACATTAACTAGTCAAATATATTTGATAAGAATCTACCAGGTGAATCACATAAATTAGGATAGGCAATTAGTAGGCAAAAAAACAACAAGGCTAGAAGCACAATTCAAAATAATAATAATAATAATAATTACCTCATTTGGTATCTGAAGCCGAACAATAGAGTCTAGGAAATGTTTAATATATGTAGCCTTACCCTACATAGAAAGGGGAATCTTTTCTTGATTTGAACATATGAAGCCATTTATCCTAATGAAAGAACTTAGTTATCATATTTTGTATTTTTTTTCTTGGCATGTGGTCTTATTGGACTTCTCTTTCTAGTGCTAAACTTTTCAAATAAAATAAGGTAGAAAAATACTTGAAATTCACTAGTAGAAGAAAAAAAACAGCAAGATACAATTGATCCTCCTCTCGAAGGAGGATCGATCTCTCCCAAATCTCTAGACGCCGCTAGAGCCCAAAGGAAAACCTAAATCTAAGAGATCTCAAATTTCAGCCACATTCAAGATGTTCTAACCCAAGAAAAACAAACTATTTAATGCATACAAATCAAAAGGAATATCCTAAAGAATCACTACATTCAATTTCCCTCCTAAACTCCCTTCAAAATCCTTCCTATTCGACTCCCTTGAGTTGTGGCCAAAATGTGCAACTCTTTCTGGAGGCAGAAGAGTTCCGCCCAATTAGCGTAAGCTGATCCCGTCGAACTGGCTGGACCGGTCCATTGGACCAGTCTAACAGTATTTTAGCCTACCAAGTTCTTTGATATCAAATTCCTTGGTAAGGTTTTTCCTTAGACTCACTTTTTCTTTTTCATTATTTCCGGTTAAGATAATATCATCCAAATAGACCAATAGTATGGTAACTTCCTCTGAGTCTGAGTGTTTAAAGAATAGTGTATGATCCCCTTGATTTTGTTTATACCCATTAAGAAGCGTGAATTTTGAGAATCTTCCGAACCAGCCCTTGGTGATTGTTTGAGCTCATATAGAGCCTTTTTTAATTTGCACACCTTGTTAGCTCCAGATTTTTTCTTAAACCCTGGTGGTGTTTCCATAAATATTTCTTCTTCCAAATCTCCATACATAAATGCATTTTTCACATCCAATTGTTCCAAATTCCAGTTGTACTTGGCTGCTAGTGAGAGTAACATTCTAACAGTGCTTATCTTAGCTACATGTGCAAAGGTTTCTTAGTTGTCAATGTCATATGTCTGAGTATACCTTTTTGTCACTAGTCTTGTCTTGTATCTTTCCAGTGCGCCATCAACTTTGTATTTTATAGAGAACACTCATTTGTAGCTGACCGGTTTTTTCCCTATCGGTAGATTGATGATCTTCCATGTATTGTTCTTTCCTAGGGCCTGTATTTCATCTTTCATGGCATTTTTCCAATTTTCATTAGATAATGCCTCAAAAATATCTATAGGAATATGGATATATTCTAGTGAAACCAGAAAATTTTTATGTAAGGATGAAAAGTTGAAGGATATATAGTTGATTATAAGGTATAAGAGAGGTGGTGAGCTTACCTTACTTCTAGGAGATGGTTCAGATTATTGGATCTACTTAGGAGCCTAATTTGAGCTTGTACGCCTAGAGTATACCTTCCCAAATCTAATGACAGCTTTGTCTTTTGTTTCCCTATCCTGGGTTTCAGGTGGATTGTTGTCTTTTGTTTCCCTATCCTGGGGTTCAGGTGGATTGGTTTGAGGTGGTGGAGGAAGATCAAGGGGTTCTAGTTCATTTTCCTCATCTTCCTCAAGTTCAATCTCCCCTGAAGATGAGATTTGGAAAAATAAGAATTTTGTTCATTAAAGGTAACATCAATAGATACAAGGATTTTTCTTGTGGGTGGATGATAACACTTATAACCTTTTTGGTTAGCTGAATAGCCAACAAAGATGCATTTGAGTGCTCTTTGATCTAGTTTTCCTCTATCGGGATAAAATGAGGACAAAATTTCCATTGAAATTGTGAGTCATAGGGTTGTTGAAGGTAGTCGGTTTATGAGATAAGTTGTGGTTATGAGAGCTTCCCCACAATAGGATTTGTGTGTATTATAGTGGACTAGTAAAGCTCGAGTAAAGGCTAGAAGGTCATCATGTTTTCTCTCTGGAACCTCATTTTGTTGTGGGTGTGAACGTAGGACGACTCATTGATGTAAGCAAATTAAAGCAAACACAAAGAGAGAACAACAAAGAGAATCAAATCTTACTTTTATAAATTTAAGACATTACTTAGAGAACAAAATAGGTTAGAGAAAACAACTAACTTCAGAATAGGAAAGAGGCAACTTCCAACGACTAAAACCATGAAACCAGCAAACATCCAAAGGACAAAATGGACCCCCAAAGCCGGCAAATCCAAGGAAGCAAAAAACAAACCTCTTCCTACCATGATCATTGGATTTACCACCATCATTGGATAGCATAAAAAAAAAATACAAAATATAACTAATATTGTTCATAACAAAAAAATAATGCAAAAATCTAAATGCATCACTCATGGATGATCCCTTCACTTTGGAAATAGGAGAAAAGGGTTTGGTTGAAATAGACTTTAGCATTATCAGCGTAAAATCTCCTTATTTTTACCCCGAATTGATTTTGGATAACAGTATAAAAAATGGGAAGAATTGTGCTAACATCAAATTTATTTTTGAGGACACAAATCCAAGAGACTCTAGTGCAATCATCAATGAATGATACAAACCAGCGTGCCCTTTGAGATTTTTTAAGGTCCCCATATATCACTATGAATAAGATGGAAAGGAGTATCACATCTCTCATTTTTATTTGGGAATGAAGTTCTTTTATGTTTGGCTAACTCACAAGTTTCCCAATGAAAACGCTTATATTCTAATTTCTGAAAAAGTTCTTAATACATGTCTTAGGACATCAAAAGATTGATGTCCTAACCCATAATGATGAATCCAAATAGAGGATTTCTTATCAACAAGGGATAATACAGAGCAGTTATTTTTAAATTGGTTCAGTTCTTCCAGATAGTACAGCCCGACTTTCTCCTTAGCAAGTCCAATCTTTTTCCTCGATCTCTATCCTGAAATAAGCAATAAAAAAAGGTTAAATAAAGTTTGACAATTATGGTCACTAATAAGTTTTTGTAATGATTGTGGATAATTGAAATACGTGGAGCACATTTTTTAGGGTGAGTGAGAGAGATAATATTGTCTCCTTGGCCTGCTATCGTGGTAAGAGAACCATCAACAGTGATGATTTTTTTGTTGCTTGAGCAAGAAGTATAGTTGATGAAATGGATAGGTGAGTCATGTGATCTGTGGCTTCTGACTCAATGATCCATACTTCCTTTAAATAATTTCTAGAGGCACTTAAACTAATGGAAATAGGAAACTTACCTGAGAGTGTAAGTGAGGAAAATGCATTTCAAGAGATACCAGGAGTCATTTAAGTTTATCAATATCTTCTTTATTGAGTTCACCGATCCTGGACTGTACCTCTAGGTTGGGCTGACTTGTTGTGTTGTTGGCGTGCAATGTGCTCTTTGTTTCACTTCTTTGATTCCACTTCTTACTGGGGAGTTTCCATGTATTTTTCAGCACGTTTCTTTGTGTGTCTTGACTTCTTACAATAAGTGCACCAAAGTGAGTCTTTGTCCTTGAATTTTGAGGAGTCTTTACCTTTCTCCTTCCATGACGATTCTCTATTCATCACCATTGCTGAACTTTTAATGACCTTTGGTTCTAACATTACTCCTCATCGGCTTTCTTCCGTGCTGATGAGAGCAATGGTTTCATTAAGTGATGGCGTCTCCTCTTTGCTGAGGATCTCGACTCTAACCTGATCAAACTCTGCATTAGTCCAAAAAAATCATAAACTCTATCTTTTTTCAATAGTTCTTTAGGATCGCAACATCTTCTGGACATCTGGTTTTTACGCATCTATAGTGGTCAAGTTCTTGTCATAGGTTTTGTAGAAGGGTGGCATACTCCATCACGGTCTTACTTCCATGCTTTGTGCTTCCTACTTTCACTTTAATTTCAAATATTTGAGCCACATCATGAGCTTTGGAGAATGTCTGTCTGGTAGCATCCCATATATCCTTTGCAGTGGAAAGGAACATGAATGTATCGCTAATTTATGGAGTCATGAAATTCCACAAACATGACATAATCATGGAGTCCACTTTATCCAATGCCCAAAAATTAGGATCTCCTTTTGATCCTTCTCCTAGAAGGTGGTGTATTTTTCCTTTCCCCTTTAAGTAGGTCTTCACAAATTGAGACCACTTTAAATAGATCTTCTCATTTGGTCGATAGGAAGGTCACATGCTTTGGAGGTCACCTCATCAATGGTGCACCATAGAATCCTCAAATTGGTCAGTGTTCGGAGAAGAATTAATTTCTGATATTTTTTAGTCAAATAATAATGAAGACTATCTATTTGATTATGGACAGCAATGAAGGCTTCAAAAAATAAGATCCCTCTGATCTTTAGTTATGGCAATAAAGACTAATGAATCTTTTTTCTTTTTTTTTTAATAATTGGTCATTCGTTTAAGAGTTGGACCGGGTAGTTATGCAAGTAGAAGTCTGCTTCAGATTGGGAGCGGTTCGAGCGTGGCTTCTTCTGTCATTGTTGTTAGGCTACGTTGCTTCGCAGGAGGTGTAGGCACACGTCTCTTCTTCAGCTCCTTCGTGGTTGTTTGACTACACTCCTTCGACAACTTTCCCTTCCTAACGGAACGGAAGTTCCGGTCGGCTAGGGCTTATGCGTCTTCCGCAATGCTCCGCTTCGATGTCAATCGGCAAGCATCTGTCGGCAGGGCTCCGTTCAATTTCTTCTTTTCCTCCTTCGATTATCTACGATCGTTCTACAACGACAATAAAGGCCATTGGCTTTGATACCATGTTGAATTCGGAAGATTGGAGAGGGAAAAGCTTAACTTTATTATACAACATACTCCCTATTTATAGATCTATACAAGAGGTCTGACGAAGAAACAAATAGCCATAGAATAATTAATAATTGTTGAAATAAAATCCTTCTTAAATCAGATGTCTAGCTATGGAAGGTACTCAATGTGTTTCTAGAAGGTTTCCCACGGATTTTTATTCGTAGTCATTGGATGTATGAGGGAACTAAGGGCTAAGATTTAACATAAACTCTAAAATTAAGATCAATAAAGCTAGAGCACTCTTGAGATGAGTATTCTCCACGAAGTTGCAATAAGAGGACAAAGAAGTGAGGTTTGTTTGATCAAAGTGGACAGTATCTCAAAGGTTGAAATTCAAAATATTACAAATGGTATCAAAATAATACACCTGTCAAAAGATAGGAACAAATTGTCAAATAGAAGAAAGAAATACACCCTGGGATCACCTCTTAAACCCATTTAGAGCAATGTGCTATAACATGGGATCCATCTCTTGCGCATGTAAGAGCCACCTCTAGGATCCTATATATTTGGTGGATGATATTGGCTACGTGTAAGATCATTAACAATGACGTTAGTTACTTACGCCGACAAGATTGTAAGATCCTTAAGTACATGAAATCAATCTCATAAACATCAAAGCTCTTTTAGGTAACGATTGGAGTTTTGCTAAGAACTCACATTGAAGTATTCTCATATTGGAGTGCATGTTGGATATCTGACCTATTGAGAAACAGAACTAAGGAAATAAAACCATGGTGCATGTTAGGCAGCAGGCAAAATCTAAATAAATGAGAGTTCAAGTTGTTACACCTGCTATGAGACCTCATAAACTAAGCTTTCTTCAAGTATTAAGATTTAAGTCTAGCTAATGAAACTGAAATAGTTGATATAGTAAAGCTTCATAAATGAAACCATCACCAATAACTAGAGAACCAAAGAGCACTGCAATTACTTGATTATAGAACTGGTTTAAACCTGTAGGAGTTATCAATAAATTTCAGCAGAAGAAAATTGCAAAAAGGGTTGATGAAATCAAAAAGAGTATAAATGGGAGAAAAAAAAACAAAATAATCTAGTAGATAATATCCCCCTTATATTTGGATCCAAAACTGAAGTAATCTAAGGCCACAAACGCATAAATAAACGATGTTATGCACGGACCCAACAGAGACTGGAAACTATTTTAGGGGTATGCCTGGGAAAATTGAAATTTCTCGAAGGACTTGTAAGACAAAATGAAAGTTTTTATTTATTAAACTCTACAAAGAGACTACTGAACAAGTATGAAGGAGTTATTTTATTCACATAAGAACTGTTTTGATATCCATTTCTATCCGCAATAAATGCTTGACATAAAGCAAGTTCTTGCTTAGTATGTAGAATGTAGATACAACCGAAACATTGCTGGAATTTTGATCAGATTATGAAAAAAAAAACACTTCTGCATGTGAAAACAACTATTTTACATGTTCAGTTATATATATATATAAATAATAGCAACACTGGTCAATGGTGAGGATCAATTTCACTTGATTTTTGTTTACAAGTCAGACTTCAAAAGTCATAGAACTAATGCATGCAGTTGAGACACCCTAAAAGTCTAGGCAAGTTTAAAAGCATAAATTTTTGGATGCATTATCTATTACCTGAAGAATGCAAGCTAAGGCAGCTTGAAACTTCTCTATTGAAAGATCAACCAGCCTTGGAAATATTGGCAAAACCTGAAAAAATAAAGGCGACACAAATTCCATGTTAAAGCAAAATCAACTTACAACACACAGGATGATAACAATACAACTACTTTAAGAAACAGTGATAATCAATTACGAAATTTTATATCATTTTGCTGTTTGTATAGCATACCACATTAAAATGAACCGCCAATTCAAATGATTAATAACCATCTAATGTTCATTCTAAGAGCACGTATTTAAAATTCAGTAGATATATATATAAATAGAAGTCAAGAGGCCAATACCATTAATGCCAAGTAAGATTATTTTTATCAAAATACTCATCAGAATGACAGATCTTTATACTACTTTCAACGAGAAAACGCCCTAAATAGTTTCCCTACTTTAAGTATGTGTCAAATTTAGTTCTAAGGTTTCACTTGCCTAATTTAATCCCTCGATTTAATTTGATCCCCCATTAAAATTCTATTAAGTTTAAACGAAAAAGCCATGTATCCTAATATTCACTATTCAATTGGAGTATTTTATTGAAAATATATTAATTTCATCATGTTTTGCAAAGAAGCTTACCTCTGTTACCCAATCTGCAAAATCAGCTTCCCGGCTGCTGGAGTTAAAGCATTTAGATGTTCTTACCATGAGCATTGATCAACATTAGTGTTGCGAGAGTTGTGAGACTGTAAGCAATGAAGGATTTTCTTAAAGATTATTTGAGTGAGATTGCCGATTATGCTCGCCGAAGTTTTCATTGATTCTACTATTAGAGCGACGACATCAAGAGACACTAAAGTACCCTTTGATGAAAATCAATGAGCAATCTATGTTAATCTCTGATAGTGATTTTGGGCGTGCAACCAAAGAAGCTACGTTGTTGATGTCAGCAATAACACATTATTGACAGTAGGGCTGTGTGGTCTCCAACCATGGCTAATATAGAAAGCATGGAAATTAGTGATGGTTTCGTGAAATCATCTGGTATATGCTGTGTCCTTTTTTTATCATTGAAGGCTATGCTGAGGGCGATCATTGAGAAGAAATACCATAGCATGATGTTTTTGGAGGGTACATTTGTTCATTATTTTTCCTTCAGATTTTATAGTAGAATTTTATGTCTGATTTGTATATTTTAATATTTGTGTGCAGTTGAGTAGTAAAATAGGAAATGATGGACTATGTTGAGTAGTTTCTGAATGTCTTGATAACTCAAATTTCTTATATAACTTTTTAGCAGTTATTAGTAAGTTAGCGAATAAAGCTTTATAAACTATTACGCACTTCAATTTTTCTGATTACTAATGTGACATTTTGTATGAATCACCATTTAGATGTTTTGGGAAACATCATTAGCATACTTATTCTTTTGTAACAATGGTTTTGGAGTTTTGTGGCCAATGATACCGCTTTTGTAATAAAGATTTTGGAGTTCTGTAATCATTAATAAATTTTTTGTCATAAGGTGTTTGGAGTTCTATGCGATCTTCTATTAGATGATTATTCACTCTTATTACTTGATTAACTTTCATTCTAATTTTTATATTTATTATAATTTATTAAATGACAAAATATAACAATATAAGCAATGTAATCTCATACACACTTACCTAAAATACCCTCACTTTTAACATTGGTGTTAACTTTACCGGTTATATTTGGCATTGGGAACAAATTAAATTATTTTTAAATAGTCAAGAGACTAAATTAGGACAGAGTGAAACACTGGGACTAAATTAGGCACTCGCTAATAGTCGGAGAACTATTTTGAGCTTTTTCACTGCTTACAAGAAAAGGAGACACATTAAAGGCCAAAAAAATACAACACCTTGTTGAATGCTTATAAGATAATTAAGTTTCTACAGATGCTCAAGTCAAAAATCTTAATGTCCAAGGAAAGCAAGTGATGCAATCAAGGATTATCATCTTATATTTTGTATTTTATTTTCTTACATTTTGGATGCTATGTAATTTTGGACTAGGATTTTTTTTTTGTGTGCCCTATGATGGAAATCAACCATGATCGTGCTTGGGTTTGGTGCTCTTAGGTAATTTCTCTCAATTGGCTTTCCACTTATGTTGAATTTATTTCCTTGCTCCTTGGTGGCTATATAAGTATTTAATCTTTGGGCTATTTTTTTCCTTCTTGGGCTTGGCCCATCTCTTCCATGTTGGTTGGCTATTGCTTTTCCGCGCAGATTTCAGAATCCCTGCTGTTGGTTCCTATTGACCTCATTTCTGTATGAGGTCACTAGGACCTATCTGGGTTTCTTTCTGGTGACATAATTATTGGAAAGTGTCCATTTTTCAATCATATAGGTCCCAATCCAATCTCAATCAAATTCAATTACACTTTTCAATTCAATCCTCATTCCAATCTCCAGACTCCAAACCCATCTAACCTCCAATCAACTTTCAATCAAATTTCAATCACACTCCAATCCAGTCCGCAATCTACACTTCAATCGAATCTTCAATCACACTTCAGTCCAATCTTGATTCAAACTTCAAACATCCAGTTTTCAATCAATTGTCAATCAAACTTTAATCAACTTCAATCACCCATTCTACACTTCAATCTAGCACCACCATGAGCATTCAAACAACAGTTCAATCCCAGGTCATAATCATCAATCAATGGCCAACAACCATTCAATTAATCAAAGCTCCAGTTAACTTTCAATCATCCAGCTTCCGATCTACTTTTCGATCAATTAACATTTCAATCATCATCGCCTACAATATAACTTGTGATCGATCTCGTCGATATTTCTTTAAAATCAACATTGAACTGCATACGGATTAATTGAGGTCGATTAGATTGCACACATTGCATTTGAGAATATCTAGTTTGATTCAATCTAATTTGAGTCTGATTCTACCTCGACACCATCGTAGATTGTAGAATTGAGTCAATCGACCATTTAATTGAGTCGAGTGAAACTTGAATTAACTGCAACCTATTTAATTTTAATCAAATAAATTTTTTTGAGCTTCGTTGAGTCAATTCAACACGAATCAAACATAATTTAATGCTCGAGGATTTTGATCGACTCATTTTAAATGCAATCGAATCAGCGTCAATTAGCTTGAATATTATATAATTTGAGGCTCCACATCTTCGATTGATTTGATTCAACCTATTTCAGCGCAATATATATTAAATCGACATCGACTAACCCAAGTTAATTCAATTGGCATAATTTGAACCCAAAATTTGAAGATTTGACATGGCTAATTTCAGCTTTCATTGACCATTTAGCTCTCAACCCCCCACCCCCTCTAAAGCATGAATTAATTTAAGCCATTGGTTTGAATCAAAGAAGAGGGGGTAGGATCGTCATATTTTTTGACTTCTTCATATTTTAGGTTAAGAAGAGGCGAATTAGGGCCGTCCAGGGGATTTGGGCATGAAGCTCTCATTCCACGACTCCAAGCACTAGCCGCAAATTACTCACAATCCATCCTCCTGCTCACGTCTCCAAGTAGCTCACAAGCCTCTAAGCTCCCTCTCACGACACATCTTCCCTGCCAAGTTCGATTTCCCCTTGCTCTTGCTAAGGCCAGCCAAACAAACCTCCGTACAACTCCATTCTCACAACCATTAGCCCCCCACGTCCCGTCCTATAGCGCTTGCAAATGCGCGTTTGGTTGAGTCGTCATTTATGGCAGCAACTTATAAGGACATTGAATAATCAATCCAACAACTCAAAAGTTAGTCCCTGCATCTTTTATCATTGATATTAGGAGACAGTTACTTGCAGAATTGGGTGCTCAACACAAAATAAGTGAGAAATTGTAGTCATCAAACCATAAATGCATACTCCATGGGCATAAAAGCAAGTCCAAACTCATATGAAGAGTACATATAAGTAGAATATCAACCTAACTTGGATTGATGTAAGATTAATTATTTTATACCGGAAACTTTTATTTATGTGTTAACCATTGTGAACATTATCAGAGTCAGATGTAACCACATGAAACCTGTTTAGTGTGGAATCATCAAGTTGACTACTATAATAAGAAATTTTTTTACATACTTGCAAAAGCCATCAAGTCCTGGACCATAAAATGTAACTAATTGAGACTCGAGACAGGACCAAAAGAGCAATAAACTCATGCGAGAATGAACATAGATTATAATTTTGACAGGGGTGATCTTACAGCTGTAGTGGTAGACATGCAACTTTGTTTAAAAAAAAAAGATGTTTCCTCTATGCTGAATACATAATAGTGATGCATACCAAACTGTATAGAAACGAAAGACTTACGGAATATACTCCTTTTGCGAGAACAAATAATTAAAAAAAATGGAAGCAAGAGCGCTTTTCCAATATAATCATTAAAAAACATCATATGCATTATTAGTTATTGAAATAAGTAATCAAATACATGCTTAAAGCCATCAGCTCTCTTATAAATTCATGACAATTAGACCAGTCAGCATCCAAAGAAGAGGAACAAATCTGCCTACTCTATGTTCAAATAAAGCTTAGCTATTCTGTCTAAATGAAAACACCAGTAACTAATGTATCCAAAGTTGAAAAGAAAGAACTAAAACAAATCAGCATACAAAATCTTTTAATTACCATATGGAGGTATAAAATAACAGACAATACCTCATCTTTTGAAAGAGAAGAAAGTATTGGGATCAAAATAGCAGCATCCTGTCAAGAGTTAAAAACAAGATCAGCATTATAACATAAGAGAATACCGAAAAAACTATAATGAGTATTCATTGCATGAGAATAATCAATCAAGGGTATGGCTCCCAAAATCATGACTTTAAGAGCATTAACCTTCATTCTAGTCTCATATAAATGCTTAACAGCAGTAATTAGATCAGCATCAGCTGTAGATTCTTCAGTGATGACTTGCAACACCTAAAAGTAAAAAAAAAAAAGAAAAATATGTTTTTAAAACATTATTACACGAAAAACATCAGCATTATCCAAATCCATGGGTGCATGGGAGCTATTGAGCATCATTTACCAGAGTAATAAGATTTTCACATCCTTCAGGTGGATTGGAAATTATATGCTGTAGCTCATTTGATGATTCCCCTACATTTCTCAAAAGGATGGGAACATGCCGATGAATGGCCTGCGTTCAATCCACAAATAGAATATAAAAACTAGATAAGCTTTTAGTCTGTTCCGTCCATAAGTAACTAGTCTGAGGATTTCCACAAATACTCTAAATCAGTGAAATAATAGGTCCTAGATTCATGCTAATTAGGATTGGGTTGGGTCAGGTTAAAGTCTTCTTTCATGATTTTCATTTCATAAATTGACTGGGATTGGGTAATGAAAGCCAAAAAAAACGTGTGAACTCTTTGATCATAGATAGGAAAAGGGGGAAATTTCATATGTAATTCATTCATGAAAGTGGATTCATGTTAAACATAACTTTAATAAAAACAGCCCGCTTATCCTTTTTTGTGGAACTAGAAGAGTGAAGTTCAATTGAATTATAATCAAATAGAGAAGGGAAAAAATAATTGAACTTTACAAATAGGATCGTTGTAATTTCATCGCTACTTAGATGGCATAGCATTAAATGATAAATATCTAGAATGGAAAATATAATAACAATGGTAGTTGATAAAGGAAAGAAAGAATATTGAGATGATATGTAATGCACTTGACAAATGTTCACCACATACTGATTGTAGCATGGGCTTGCTGGTCCTGAAAAACAACAGTGATAATATGCCTACTTATAGATGAAGTATATAGATGGAAAAAGGTAGAGATCTATTTAAAGTTACAGTAGCTATTCATCTATAATTAGAGTTGCTACTCTTTCAAGACAGAGATACCTGCTTGACAGCCTTTGGAGCTCTTCCATAAATATCAAAAATAAGTTTAAAGAGACTTGGTTTCTGCAGAAAAGAAAGGAAATCTTATGAATCACCAACGAAAGTTTTGTTGTAAAATATCATTTGCCATAAAATGAACAATATAGACAAAATAACCTTTGAACAGAGAGCAAAAAACAATGACGTTTTCTGCTGAGCTTGAGACGAGGACATCAACACAACATTTTGTGAATAACCTGGGTTGTCTCTCATGGTTTCACTTTCAGAAGCCCCATTTTCAGAATTCTGGGAACCGCCAAAGGATGATTCATGATTACATACCTACGAGGTTGTAAAAAATTGCAGAGGTTAAGATAAATGATTACATGCTAAAATTTTTAATACTAATTACACCTTTCTTGAAATTCGGTTAAGAGGTGCAGTAATAATCTAATTTACTTAGGTTTCTAATGACATTATATGGAATCTCTAAGAATAACAGAGACAAGATATTAATACAGTACAAAAATCAAATACTTCATACAATTATCAATCCATCTTTAGAATGTAAATAATGGATTTACATGACAAATTGGCATCAAGTATTCATTGTCTAAACCTACCTCCCAAAAGGAACTTGGACGTAACAATAGAGAGCTGAACCTACAAATTTACACAAGAAAAACATCCATCATATTCAGTCTTACTTTCTGCCATATAAGAATTCTCATCATCTCATAAAGCCTTCCTCATAAGTTTAAACATCATTTAATCCTATCATCTAAGAAGTTGTCCAATGAGGTATGGAGGAAAGCCATGAGAGAGAAAAGAAGAAGACTTCAAGAAGAACAAAAACATAGGAGATCATGGAGTTTCCTAGAGGAAAAAAATCAGTATGATGAAAATGGGTGTCTATAAGAAAATAGAAAATGGGTGGACCTTTTGAGAAATCTAAAGAAAGATTGGAAGGTATACACTAAAATTTATGGAGTAGATTGCAATGAAATGTTTACTCCAATTGCAAAGATGAATACAATAGGAGTTCTTTTTACAGCAGCTTGATGTTCAAAATGCATATTTTTTCATGGTGATTTAGAATAAATCTATATGGATATTTGATGCGGATATCGGCAAGAAGATTTGGCGCATCTATCACAGGAGGCGTCGTAAATCGACGGCTCTAATTTAAATTGTCATTTATGAGTTATTTTATGAATTTTAGCTCTTATTTTATGTTATTTCCTGTTTTACCCCTAGGTTAGCTTATTTGAGTGTTGTGGCCCAAGGGGCAATTTTGTAATTTTGATTTTTCTCATGTTGTGGCCTATATATAAGGCCTTAAGCTATTGTAATAGGGAATGAAGAATTAATATTAAAAATTTGTGTTCAGCAATTGTGCTCTTGTGAGAGGATGATAGTGAGATTTCTATGGAGAGGAATCGGAGTCTTCACCAGCCGCAGGATGCATCCGAGCTCGTGAATTGAAGTCCCTTGGAGAAGGGCAAAGAATCACCCGTCAGTCTTTGGAAGAGCCCAAGGCTCGCGATTTTTATCTTCTATCATTTATTTTCTATCTTTTTGTTTTATTTTGTTCCTTCTTATTGCTCCTCGTCGTCTTATTTTTTTATCTTCCTACTTCCATCGTCACGTCGTCTCCATCTCCACCTCGCCGCCGGTCCCTCACCCGAAAAACCTCCAAACCGCCGGCCATGGCTCCCTAGCCGGCCTCATCCTTTCTCCACTCTCCTTAGATTTCCTAATTTGGGGTGCATGATATTAGGACTTAATTTGAAATTCAAATTTATTTCCTAATTTAGCTCACCTATTTTTGAAAAGTGCTCAATTGAAATTATAAACCCATGACAATTTTGGATTTCAAATTTGAAAATTTTCCTAATTGGGTTTGATCCACATTTGGATGGTTTTAACTCTCCAATTCAAAATTCAAATTTGAATTAGGAGTTAAATGCCCCCTCAATTTCCTCCCTTTAATTAAGGAATTAATCGCAGCTTTAAATTTAAAATTTAATTTCATATTTAAGGATTAATTCACTTAAGTAATTGGGGCCCACTTATTTGAAATCAAACCCCTCTCCCTCCCTTTCTCCTAGGCCGGCCCCTCTTCCTCGTTCCTTTGCCTAATTAAGAGCCAATTAATGCTCCTAATTAACTCCCTCGTTCACTCAGAAAATTCCCTCCACAAATCCCGATCTTCTCTCCTCTTATTTACTCTAGAGATCTCCCCACGTTAACAACCTTTAATTTTGAAAACCAAAATTCTTTCCTGTATTCCCCAGCTGGCCGAATTTTCCCAACATCTTTACATTGGTTTTATACACTAAACCCTTCTCAAACTCCTCCCACATGGAGTCTACTATTTTCTAAGACTGCCGTCAAGGAATTCCAACCCTTGCTCTCACATCTCCAATAATCGTAAGCCTAATAACTGCTGTTTGGGAAGATCAAACTGCTGTCCAGCAGTTTGATCTAGACTGTTTTCACTACAGCACCATTGGAGAAGTCTCCCCTTGTCATACAACCCTTCCCAAAGTCAAAACAGCGACTTCTCGCATGGAGGGCTGACCCGGACACAGAATACGACCCCTCCTACGACAAACTCCTTCAACATATTGACTACTTGTTTCCGGACTTTGACTAAGTGCTTGGCATGTAACTTAGCCTAAACGGGGCCTCCTTTTCCCGTTCTACATCAATATTACTCTTACCTTTGGAGTTCTTGGAACCAACAAGGTCTACAAACCAAAAAAAGTATAATATGATCTCAAATAATCACCCAGAGCTTGTTTGGGAGGATTTACGAAAGTGATAGTTGGCCAAGGAGAACCAAAGCTTAAATGGTGTATGCTGATAAACTAATTGTAACAAGAAACGATAAGCTAGAAAAAGAATCTCTGAAGCGAAGTTTGATCAACTAATTTGAGATAAAGTGGCTAGGAAAATGGGAATACTTCCTAAGAATAGAGGTAGCTCACTCACAACATGGAAACTTCATTTTACTAAAGAAATGTCATTGATCTCCAGAAGAAAATAATAAATTACCATGCAAACCTGTCTACACGCAATGATCTGAATCATAAATTCAAGGAAGCAAAAGGTCTTATTGTGGACAAAAAAATGTACCAAAGGTTAGTGGAAAAGTTTATTTATCTAACTCATAAAAGACTAGATATAGCCTATTTTGCCAATGTTTAAGTCAATTTATGCATGATCAACGGGAAGCCCTTCTAGAGGCTTTCTATCAAATTCTACTTTGCTTAAAAGCTAATATGGAGAAAGGAATTTTGTATAAAAGAAACACAAGATTAGGTCTTGGAGCTTACAAAGGCGTAGACTATGTAGGTTCACATGTGGACATGAGATCCACCTACGAATATTGCATCTTTCTTGAGAAATATCTTGTTGCATGGATGAACAAAAAAGTAAAACACAGTAGCAAAGTTTGGTGCAAGTGGAATTTGGGCAATGGCACAAGGGATATATGGGTTGCTATGTATTGACCTCTACAGAGAAAAAAAAAATCATCAAATCTCACGTAACTGTCTCGGCTGTCCGACGATGCGCGCACGAGTTCAGCGCATCGTGCTCCGCACGACAGATGTTGTTGCCCACAACCTTCGTCTCATCGCCACAATCTCCTTTTACCTCATCATTAAAATGAAGACCAACGACGCTTCATTCTTCTTCTTCCTCTCACATACAACCTCTGTCTCACCTTTGCCGAATTACAACCATTCGAGCTCCTCACACAGCCGCAGCCCACTTACATTCGGCCGATCCAACCTCAGCCGACTGCACCTATCAGATCGACCTCGCAAACCCTCCAGATTCAATAGTCAATCTCCCCTATGTCGTTCGACATCATCACACCCGTCCTCTTCTCACTCGACAACACCTCCGACCAGCCGATCAACACAGCCAAAACTGCACAAACTCATCACCTTCGATCCCTCTCCCATTCGCAAACCCAGCTCCGACTAAAGCAGTAGTCTCCTTCCTCATGCTCGCAAGCTGTTCAGACTCAACTCCCTGTGACAAAATCAAACCTTGAGCTGCATACATCCGTCTAACTGCAAGCCCTAACTGTCTGATCCCACTCCAATCTTCCTGCTTTAAACCAACTCGACCCCAAGCAACCATAACCAGCCTCTCCAACCTCCCTCTCATGTTCTCTCTGCTCGATTCCCCCAAGCATCCGCAAGACCACTTGCCCCGCTAAAACTACCTCTCTGCTGATCTCCAAAAGCCGCCAATAGCAAGGTAATCCCTATCAAGTTAATATTGGTGTTAATAATATCCATTAAAATTAATATTAATAATGTTATTATTATTATTATTATAAATAGATGTGTGTGTGTATATATATATATGTGTGTTTGTGCGCGCGCCCGCGTGCACAAAAAAATAAGATGACAAAAAAAAGAGAAATACAAAAAGAAAGAAAAAAAGGAGAAAAAAAAAAGAAGAAAAAAATGGAGAAGTGAAATTTGAAACATGTCCTCGATTTTCATGCCTTTGAAGCCGTTGCTTCAACACCATCATTGTCACCCATGCACTAGGTATAATGATCCAAACCCCGTTCTCGGCTCTTTCTTAGCATGGTACGAGGGAACCCAGTGCGACAGTTGTGGCGAGACGGGTAGATCCTTTCTACGTATTTCTTTGCGTGACGGGGACAACTCTAAGTACCCGTACGCGCCTCAGTGCCTGCAGGGAAAGAATTATGCATTTCAAAAGCAAGTACCCCTGAAGACCCATACACGCCTTTCTTAGCGTGGTGGGATTGAAGACCACGACCGCAGTGTCTTCGGACACCTACTTACTATACACGTCTTTCTCGGTGTGGTGGGAAGGCCCAGCCCCCCAAATTTCCCCCAAGCAGGGGATACGTCGGGGTACTGCGGAAATTCAGAATGAGAATGAACAAAATTGAAAGAATAACACGGGACAAAATTTGAACTAACAGCAAGGAATAGAACCGAAATTTTAAAACGCACAATCAAATAAAGAAATTCGGATGTCAAATGATAAATTCAATGCATTCAATCAAGCATAAATGAACAAGCACGAGACTTGCAACGAACAATACCTTCAATGCACAAATGATATTCAATAAATTCCAAATAATGCTAGTCTACTGCAAAGAGTATAAACACCTCCTATATGTAATAATGAAAGACTGTACAATCAATAGCCAACCTGTAGATTGAAATGGTGGCACTTGCAATTAATGGTAGAAGACATGGCATGTGCACTACAACTCACACAAGTCCAACAGGCGATGAATGTAACAATGCCTTGCAGTCAACATCAACAGCTTGCATACAACTGATGCTACTACAAACAAGCACACTATGTTGCCTATTAATGAGGATGGTAGGCATGATGCAAGCACAAGGATCTCCCTACAAGCACATTAAAGGGGATTGCCATAAATGTACTGTAGAGAACCTACAAAGTGATGGTTCATATGCAAGCTGGATATGACACCAGTATAATGACTCTCCTACAAGCACATTTAAGAAGATTGTAGTAGATTCGTAAGTATGGGATTTACGATGTGATAATACATGTGCAAGCTGAAATCAGAAGCCCTCTACAAGCATGAACACCCGCAAGCAACTGTAGGAAGCCCGTCAAGCTACAGTAGTCCACCTACGGGTGATGAAAAACAATATGCAATAGATGCCAGATCACCCCTACAATCACCTACCACTCAATGCCAAGCAAAGACACTTATCTCCTGCAGGCAAAGACGATTGACTTGCAACAGATGTAAGCACCTACGAGTTACTGTAGGGGACCATCACACACACCAAATGCTACCTATGAGCAGATATAAAAGAGCTATAGTAAATGCAAGTACCTACAAGCAGCGTTGGAGAACCCACGATGTGCGTAGCATCTTGCCAGCGAAAGTGGCAAGTGATATGTAGTATCACTTGCGAAGAATAGCAGATGACCCATCTAAAGAAGATTGAGTTGAAGCTCAACTGCTCGATTTGCTTGAATATTTTGGACCAACCAATGTAGCCACCTCGTGATCATACTGTGTCTAGTTCTTGCGATGGGATATCCAAGAATGATGGATACAATTGTCCTGATTGCATACTACCTTAATACAGTTGTCCTGATTGCATACTACCTTATGAAAGCAAAGATTTGAGACATATCACTCATATTGAAAAGTTTCTTACAATTTACAAAAATATGAGTTCATTATATCATCTTCGCATCAAGGTTCCTCATATGACATTAATGATGTTAATGTACCTACCCTGTCTCGTACATCAACCATGCTAAGAAGAGTTAAGATAAAGACGAATCAGTGTAAGGAGAAATCCCGCCGAGAGGAAGGTCCCAACTATAACACTAAGCATACGAAATTGAATGATTTTATGAATGATTATGTAGAATCAAAGAATGAGCAGTTGAAGAAAATACCTCATCCTATAATTTCAAAACAATTTTCTCCCCATTTCACCCACAGAGTCGTGGAGCTCTAGTAAGAGGCCTAGCCCCCAAGGTCACTCGTCAACTCATAAATGTCTACATTGTAGCGCAAGTCCTTGGGCCCTCTATCACATCACACTTGACCAAAGCCTCGACACAACTCCCATTAAGGAGGCTAATGTCTTTGTTGTTTCCTCCTTTGTTCATCGTGCCAATGTCATCAAGGCGTGACACTTCATCAGGAACAAAATCAAGGTCATGGTGTCAATCTAGAAGGGGTTTATGAAAGTGCTAACTAAGGTGTAAAAAAAGAACAAGAAAATTTTCAATTGTCCGCAGAGGCGATGGGCACAGCAGCAAGCAGCTAGGGAAGAGCAAGGTTGGCGACGAGCAGCTAGAAAGGAATCAAGTGTGTGCTTTGGCCATTCATCGGGAAAGGAGGAGATAGGTTTTTTTGTTTTTGAAAAAAAATAAATTTGTATTAGAAAACAAACTTTTTTTTTTATCATCTTAGACCATAAATAAAAAAATAAAAAAACAAATTGAAGATATAACCTATAGCAATAGCAAGCCAAACAAACCTTCAATTTACTCATCAAGGAATTTTGACTCCATTTTTATGCAAAAAAAAAATATGAGATTCTAATAAAAGATATAAAATATATCAATAGCAAGCTAAAAATGGGTATTCATTCACATAGATTGTTCTCAACAAGGACTTTCTTTCCTTTCAGAGCACTACAAGAACAAAATGCCAAAAAATCATGTATCAGCTATCCATTATCCAATTATATTATGTAATTGTTCTCTAATGTAAACACCTAGAACAGAAAATCTAAGAAATCAATATATTAGCGTAAAGAAAAACCTAATATAAACATTAAAGAGCTCAAAATCGCATTTAAGAAAGTAGTTTATTACTTCAGTTCTCTGTCCACTAGAACTGGTACATTGGGACTCTGCCTCTGAAACTTGATGATTGACAACAGATAACAGCATTTTTTTAGCAAAGCTTTCAATGTGTTCTGAGGCATATTGCAGAATATAGAGCTTATTTACCACCTAAAAATAAAGAAAAGAATGAAATCAGAACTCAAATACTAAGGATATGCTTGTTGAAGAGAAAATTATCTTGTAGAGAAGCACAATAGCATATCATAAAAGGAAGAAAAAAAATAGAGAAGAACGGATAACATAGAGATTTTTATTGCATACCAGCCGAACAGCTTTCGTTCTAACTTCCTCTTTAGCATGAACGGCACACTGCAAACACACATCAATCTCATAAGTTCTTTTGTCATGAAAAGTGGCTGATCATATACTATCTCCTGATTCAGGATTCATAACAAATATCAACTTCTAAACTAAGTGCAACTCAAGCAAACATGACAATAAAATTGCCTACAGAAGATTAAACATATTTCTTTATGCTTGAAATTATTCAAATTAAGAAATTCTAGGAATATAAATAGAAGAGAGAACAGCCGTTCATAATGACATCGGGTTAAATTAAATTAAGAGAATAAATGTTTCCCAATAATATACTGATAAGCATTCCATCAAAGTGACAAATCTGGTTCGAAGAATAAATAAATAAATGATCCTGTTAGCGCCCAGTTTGATTCCTCCTTCTAAAGCAGATATAAACTGATGGTTTCTTATGTTGTACACCTCCATTTTACCCAAAATAATGTATGCATGCTAAAGAAACTATAAAGTATGCATAAACAATAAATAAAAAATTTGCTTATCTATCTTTTTTTTCCGTCACCCTAAGAACAAAATAAACCATACAATCAACATAAACATGCATTATCCTAAAGTAACAGATCCTAACAATGTGGCATATATAGATGTTCAAAGCAATGCAACCATAACAGCAGTTTAATTGAACATATGTGGTAGAAAAAAACTTCATAAACTTGATGTATCATGGTTTATACTATCCTAAAGTGCTGAAGAACCATGAAAATTAAAAAAAGGAAAAAAACAGTAAGATCAAAAGAAAAGACTATGCTGACTGTCAAATATTGTCCCAACCATCCCAATCATCCCTTCCCTCTTGATCCTATAGCCAACATAGACATCCGAGGGAGGCTCACCGGGATCACACCAATCTCCTTCCATATTTTCGTGGTCTAATTTAGGAAGGATTATATTAATGCAATTATGCATGATTTGTTTCCTTTTTAAGATATCTTGTATAAATCTATAAATAGGGAGAGCATTATACAATGAAATTAAGTCTTTTCTCTATCCAATTCTCTGAATTTAACATGGCATAGGAGCCTTCATGCTGTTACCGTAATTCTGAGTTTTTTTTCTACTATCGTGCCTTCATTGCCGGCCTTCTCTTGATAAATGAGAGGGAGCATATTCCAGCTTGGTTCTATCTTTTGCATCTATCCAATCGAGAGAGAGATTGAAAGCAAGATAGGGGAGAGACTGAGAACCCAGATCCCTACGTGCATCTGGCCGAGCGAGGGAGCAAAAAGAATCGAGCAACTATCTGTGTACGTGAAGCAGACCAAACCGAGCAGTTCGTGTGGACTGAGAATCGATCAAGCAAAACAATCGAGCAAGGGACCTACGCCTGTGGCTTCTGCATGTGAATCGAGGCCCTTTCCTCTCGCGTGCATGCAAGTGATGGAGCCAGGGGGAGGGGTCGAGCAAGGCTTCTCTCGCATGAAGCCTGAGTCGTTTGTGATTCCACTCCCTTGCTATCCTATTTATAACCAATGCAGCATTCATTGTTGCGCTGCACCTTGCTGGCTTGATTGATATAGCCTTCATCGCTACCCTTTGACGTCATAATGTTTGAAGTTAATTCCTCCCAAAGCTTTTGACCAAATGGAGAACTCTATGGTGTAACAAGAAAGAGGAGGCCTCCAAAATATGCAACCTTCCTATCGCTTAAATGGGAAGAAATACTTGATGTGGTCTCAATTTGTGATGACCTACTTAAAAGGAAAAGGAAAGATGAATCACCTCATTTGGTAGAACTAAAAGGAGATCCAAATTTGTGGGCATGGGATGAAGCGAATTCCATGATTATGTCATGGTTGTTGAATTCCATGACTCTATAAATTAGTGATACTTTCATGTTCCTATCTACTACAAAGGACATATGAGATGCCACCAGGCAAACCTCAAAAGCTTGGGATGATACTCAAGTCTTCAAAATTAAGGTAAAGGTGGGAAGCACAAAACGAGGAAGCAAGAACATGATTAAATATGTCACTCTCCTCTAAGGCTTGTGGAAAGAACTTGATCACTACATATGTATAGAAACCAAGTGTCCAGAATATGCTGTTATCATGACAAGCTTTATTGAGAAAGATAAGTGTATGATTTTCTTGCTAGATTAAATGCAAAGTTTGACCAAGTTAAAGTTAAGATCTTTGGCAAAGAGGAGACACATTCACTATTTGAGACCATTCTCTCATTTGTGCTGGAGGAAAGCCGACAAGAGGTAATGCAGGAACCAAAGGCTATTGAAGGTTCAATAATGGTGACAACCAAAGAAACATTATGGAAGAAAAGAGGTATGGATTCCTCAAAACTTAAAGACAATAAAGACTCTTTGGTGCATCTATTTGATAGAATGGTCCCACGGCCGGTCCTGGTAGCAAAACAAGGGAAGTTCTGCCCCCATCAATGTCGCCCCCTTGATAGTGGGTTCCACAAGCTTAATTAGGGGGAATGAGGGGGTTTAGGAGGAAATTTTTAAATGGAATGGGTTGTTTGGGAATTAGAGGGGATTAATGTTTGTTTAAGAGGGAATTGCTCCTAGGGTTTGTTTTTTTTATCTCAGTTTTTGGTTTCTTGTTGGGAGGGAAGTTCTTGCTCAAGTTGTTTAGGCTCTAGCCGCCAGCTAGGGATTTGGGAGAGCCGAATCATTCTCTCTAATAGGGGATCCATAGTATCCATTCCATTGTATCCTTCTTCTCAAGTGAAGCAATTTTAGGGTGTCATTTTGTTTGTGTCAAAGTTTGAAGCGTCCAAATTGTAAGTGTCTTGCAAGAGTTGTTTGTAAGTCTTGTCTAAGTTGTAATAGTTTTTATATTATGAAGTAAAGTTGTTGTTTTTAGTTTATTTGTCTATTCTATGTCTTTATTTCTTTGTTCTTAGAAAGGTAATCTTTTTGTGATCAAAAATTTGGGTCCCTCCTCTCCCAAATTTTTGATTGCATCATAATCTTTAAATAAAAGGTGTTTGTCAACTCTCCCTTGTCGCTTGCTGATTTTTTTTGTGAGAAAGAGTCCCTTTTCTAACAAATTGGTATTAGAGCATCGATTCGGCATATTTATGGCTGGGAGAAATATGTAAGCAAGGGAGGGGTCAAAACAAGTTGAGATTTAAATTTTGTGAGTTTCTTTATCTCCACTAAAAATCAGCTCATTAATGAGCTTCTTCTTTTTCAGCTCATTAATATCTAGTAGAGAGCCTTTTAAGCTCATAAATTAAAGATTAATTAGATTCATCCCCTCCTCCTTGTGGCTCTTAGGTTTCTTCCCTTGCCTTTATTTATGACTTTTTGGTTTCTTCCCTTGTGTCTCTTCCATTCCCCTTTGTCCCGTGGATTTCCATGCTTGTCCCTTGGTTTTTTGTGCTGGGTGGTTTTTCCTGTGTCTTTGGTGCCTCAATTCATTCCAGGCCTCTTTGGTTCATGCGGCTGCCTCTTCGAAATCTTCCTGGGCTGCTTTCCCGTGGCTGTTGGGGCTTTTTTTGTGACTTTGGTGCTTTGTTTTCAGTATAGAATTATGAGTGGGATGTTGGCTTTTCATTTCCCTCATTTAAATTAAGAATATGAAGGGTTTTTTTTGGAGTTGTTTGGTTTCTCCTCTCTTGCCTATAAATATGAAATTTTTTGAGAGGGAATGAGAGTTAAAAATGTGATTTTTGGAAAGAAACCTGAGGGTTTTCTTGGATAGCTTGCGAGCTATGCCACTTCTTCCTCTCTTTGTCTAGGAAAGCTTGCGAGCTTCTCCTCCTCCTCGCCGCAAGTATCAACCTCACCTATATCCTTCTTCTAATGGAATGAAGCTCCTTTAGGTTCGTTTGTGTCCATGTTATTAAAGTATTTGTAAGGTGTTTGTGTTCAAGATTTGTAAGTGTCCAAGTTGTAATAGTCTTTTATCTTATAAAAAGTTTGTTTTGTCTAATTCGTCTAGTTTGTGTGAGTTCATTTTAGTTTTTATTATCTAGAAAGTTTTCTTTTTTGTGATAAAAAATTTGGGTCACATCAGAGAAAAATGGAAGTATTGGAAGGAGATATGGGACAATTAAAATTAGTTTTTTTGGAAAAGATTTTTTAATTTGAAAATCAATTTTCAGTTGTTCATGAAAAGATGGATGGAAAGTTTGCCGTCGTGGAAGAAATCTTGAAGAAGTTACTTGAAGCTGAGCCAAAGACGACGTCATCGAAGGCGAAGGGAGTCACCGATGATCAAGGAAGTGGTAAAACTCAAATCTGACAAGGAGGATTTAGAATTTTTGGAGGGAGATGGGATGCCTCCCCTAGAACTTATTTCTAGGGAGGAGAGTAGTAGGTTTGAACAAATGGGTGCTAATTTTTCGAGAAGGGAGGCTGATTTTGAGTGAATGGGTGATGATATAGAAAGAAGAAGGGGGGATTTTGAAGAAAGGTTTGGGTACGAGAACAAAAGGGAGGATCGGGACACTCGTGGAGGTCCACCAATTTGTGGGATGGGCGGTTATGGAGGATGTAGGGGAAACGGAGGCGAACCGAGAGCGAGGAAGCTGAAGATGCCCATCTTTAAGAAAATACAACAACGAAGTTGAACTACACCTATCAGATTAAATACCCTTGCTACAGTAAATTTCATTAATAAACAACAAACCTATATAAAACTTTAGGGAAATAGTTCAAATGAAAACTAATTACACAACTTTTACATTATTACAATTCAACATATGCTTCTACAGTCGAATTAATCCATTTGATGTGTAGAACACAATAGCATGTTTTTTATAATTTTTATTAAAGTTAGTATTTTAGGGTATAATTTATCTTGTAAAATTAGGTATTACATCAGTGGTGCCTAAATTGCTCCCTTATTAAAAAGCTTAAAGAATCAATATACTGCAAAAAAATGGCATAAAGATTTTCAAACTTTGGAACTATACCTTCAATAAATTAAAAGATCTCACCTTTTTATCTAACCATATGGGAGTATGAAACTGTTAGAACCGCATTGTGCTTCCATGCCCACTCCTATTTCCTTTTCCTTGGAGTTGTCAACTAATCTTGACAATCAAGACTTGAAGGAGGTTGCTCCCCATTAATCTGGCATAGGGGATCAATGGCGTGTAAAAACATAGGCTTGTCAATTCTTTCCTAATAGATCTGTGAAATCCTTAATCAAATATTTCTTTTTCTTTTGTATCCTTCTTTTAAATCCTAATAATTGTGCATTACTCTTATGTATAATTTCAAGAAATGGGCTAAAAGCCCCTGCTTTCTCAACCTTTTTCTCTGTAGATACACAATCAAGGGATTAATCCCCTATATCCTCCATCTCCTCCTGCAACTCCTATTTTATCTCATGCTCCTGCACGTCATCCACAATGTCAATTGAGTGAATGGTTGGATCAATCTCAAGCATCATCTCGCTCTGCTCATTTCTTCCATGCTCCTCCCTACTTGAAAAACTATGAACAAGAGTGATCAAAACATCCAATTTTCTCTCCAGCCTTATTTGATTATTCTCCAACCTAATCTAGTTCCTCTTCAACTCATGCATAATGACAAAAAGCTACTTTAAACCTTTCATAGGAGGGCATGGACTAACTTACAACTATATGTGCTTCTGCTGCCTCACTTGGTCTCTCCTAAAAAATGAGAGTGCTAGTCCTCTTCTTTATAACTCTTACTAAGATATATTAAATAGGAATATGTACAACGGATTTATAGAAGTCCTCATAAGCTCTATGCATCTGTGTAGTATGGACAGTCATTCACAAAAAATAAGATAGAAAAGGCTTGTGAGTTAATTTACAATAAACATGAAACACATAAACCAAAAATACACACAGGTGCTCTTCCCTAGTTGCATTTTAATTATTAGCAATGGTAAAAAAATCCTTGCCTATAAGCACCTTATTATTTTTCCAACTTAATGTCCTTGGTGCCCTTTCTCCAAAGAGATCAACATATCTCCTCCCCAGCTCTGGAATGGCTTCATAAATTGAAACTATAGAAATATTGGATATCTAGTTAAAATGCATTGGTTTGGGTCATTCTTCTTTGAATGTGGCCATGTAGTGCACCATATCCATTTTTAGCCCTCCTAGTGTTCTCTCTCCAAAATCATCCTACCCCACGGGTATCCAAAAATGCTTTCTCAACATCAAACAAATCAAGCATCTCAGTTAAAACAGTATTATGTTTATCATAATTGGGGAGGACACAATCTACAAAAAGTGCACTCCATGAAAGCATTCTCCAAATCTTTATTTTGGAACTTACCAAGCAGCCAACTACATATGCTTATTTTGGAACTCGTCAAATTGGAATTCTATAAATTGCAACCCAATGATCAAAGTAAACTCAACAACTTCAAATTTAGTGTTCTTCCCTACAATGCTGAGCATAGAGGAGCATCCCTCATTCTCAAAATCAATCATCATGAATAACAATAGATAAAATCAGGGACCTAGACACCTGCGGTATAAGAGTTTTGAAGAACTAAAAAAAGGGGTGTGTCTCTCGGCCTCGATAATGAGATCTTTAGCCCTGAACTGTCTAATCAAACTCACCATCACACCTTAAACTTTGTATGTGACCGAGCACTACAATGCTCTCTACTAGTATAACTAGTGCAAACATCTGCATTAGAGAAAAATAACTCAAATGAGTTAATTTTCAAAAGAGCTAATGAAGGTAAAACGAAATGAAACATCTATGAACCATCTTCAAAATATGATTTAACCATTTTTTATCATGATTCAAATAACAATCAAATCATAATCAAACCATGTTCGAACTATGATCAAATAATGGTTGAAATATGATCGAACTATCTAATCATGATTCGAACAATCTCCGAACCACGATCAAACCATGATCTAATCGTCTTCGGACGATGATCAAATGATGATCGAACCATCTTTGAACATGGTTGAATTATCATTGTTCAAACATTGTTTGATCATGATTCAAACCATAATTTGAACCATCTTCGAAATGCAGTAAATACAAAAGGAGAGCATTCTCCAACAGTTTAAAGTATATCAGAAAAAAGTTTCAGTAAACAACATGATGTCAAACATAAACAAATAATAATCCCCAATAAAGCAAATAATCAAAAAATGCATACGACCATAACTTTTGGCATGGTTGCCTGTTATTTTTTTAAGCAAAAAAAAAAAAGGCTAAAAAATGCAACTAGATCCTGTTCGAAATATTATTTATACTCATACAATGCATTCTTATAGAAAAGACAAATTTTGCAAACAAAAAAGTATTTACCTTCAAAGCAATCTCCAAGCAAGCTAAACGATTAGATGGACGACTCAAAATTAGACTCCATAAAGTACCCAAACCCTGAGTAGCTCGATCGCCATCAAAAGCATCTTTCTTAAGGTGATCATAAACACTTGAGTAGCAAACATCCTCCAAAAATCTCAATGCAGAGTCGGGCAAAAATGGAGCTTCTCCAAGAAGTCTACTAAAGGACTTATCTGAAGCTGAAAATGAATCAATAAGGCCTTTTGCCTACAAGATTTAATGCTCATGTCAGAGATGCATGAAACATTTCTATAAAAAAACATTAAAAAAAAAATACCAACACTAATAATTAACCGAAATTTAAAAACTCACACTAGATAGTAGAAATTTCTCATAATTACTCGCAGCAATGTTGGAACTTTCATTTGATTCAGATATCATAATAGCATGAATATGGTATAGCACAAGCATTGTGAGCTCATGTCCCTGAAAAAAGAGTCATAAGAGAAGCAATTCAGCAAGACAACAATACAAAGGGCATACAAAAAATATTTTCCAGGGAAGAATTTAATATTTAGAACAAAATATGAAAATTCAATAAAAGAATATTACTTTAACTATGCAGCACGCATGCGTGTGTTTGGTTGAAATTACATTAATCCCTAATAAAATATATGAACCCACCAACAATTAGTTATCTACAACAAGATGGCAAATTATTTGCTTCCTTCCAAATTAATACATGCTTTAAATTATAGACGAAGAAGCCAAAGACGTACAAACATGGATTTTTTTTTAAATTTTGGCCAAAAAATAAGTATGAACTTCAAGTGGTGCCCTTTTTTTCTAAAGAATAAATCACAACCATTAAATATGGTTATTAAACTATGATTTAGTTCACAAAGAATTGCAGGACGATAGGAAAAAGTTAGAAGTTGAAAATTTCATATACTGAACTAAAAACATAAGTTTATTATTAAATCATAGTCAAAATTGAAAAAAATCATAGTTAAAATTATAAGTTCTTGTTTCTTCTGGTTATTTTAAGTTTTTTTTTTTTTTTTTTTGCGCAGTAGATAGGTTCAAAGCTATGCTCTCTTCTTTTACTGTAAATTCAGAAAAAATGATGTTGTTTTAATATACTTATTGAAGATAAATTTTCAGTGGTAGCATATGGTTCTGAGGTTAAGTAGTGCTTCCTTTGAATATTTGTTGGTTTAAAGAGAAGGAAAATGTCTGGTGGAAAGTTTTCTATAAATGAAGTTAAATGAAACATGAAAAAGCTTGCAGCATAGCTCTACATCAAAGCAACAAGTGCAAACAAGCATTTGCAGAATTAACTTCAAAAGCAATTCGTTGGATATTTCAAGAAGTGGAAAAAACTAAACGAGCCATCCTTCTGGCTGTTAGACTCGAGATGAGTCAAAAAAAAACACCAGTAAATATCCCATTTATCAATCAGTAAGAAAACAAATGAAAAACACCCTGAACTACTAAGAGCAAAAAGATAAGCGCCAAAAAGTTACATATGACAAGAAAAAGCTACTGAAAGAATTCCCTTAAGAAAGGAAATACCACCTAAAATACATGAATCTGAGAGAAATTATATGTCACACATCAAGCAGATTTTACGATTGGCACACTTCTTTAGGATGGCATAGGAAACTTTAGTAAAACTTACTAGCACAACATGCCATCCCCTAAAATTGATATTTTAGTAAACAGCAGATTTGGGTCGACTAAGTAGAGAAGAAACCATGAACAAGGATGGACTCTACAACTTTATGGGTATCAAGCACATATCAGCCAAGAAAGAGTTATCTAGACCGCTATAGCAACAAGTTACAAATTGATTTTAAAATTTGAATCCCTGAAATTCTTAACATCATAGTGAAGAAAAGGTCAACAAGAAATTTCGTTGCCATTCAGTCCTCGTAAGATCCTCCAACAACCACCAAGGCAACCAAAGAGGAGAGGATTAGGACAATGACCGTGAAAAAACGGCTCTATTGCTGGAGATAATTAAAAACACCATATTACCAAAATGGAACCTGTCTAATATGATGGAAAGATTAACCCACACCCACCGAAAAAGATCAAAAGAGAATAAGAATTAAAAATAATTGGAACCATTTACTTGAACCCATTATTGTTCACAAAATTAAAACCTGGACACTTACCAACACTTACCACACATCTTAGAATGGGATCTAGCAGATACTTTATTCTAATAATTCAAAGAAATAATTCAGACAGTTCCACCTCCTTGTGACCTTCTTATCACTTCGACAGCTTAAAAAAAGCAACACTCTTGAGCCTGTTCAAGTTAAGATAAATAAGGAGAAATTTGTTTAGTTAAACTGAATTTAAATCAACGAGATTTCCCCTGGCGCTTGATAAGGAATTATTTAGATCTAGGGTCGAAACTCATAACTTATAAAACATTCCCATTACAGGAGAACACATTCAAATCTCAATCAAGGTAGTCACTTAAGCACAACTTTTAGCCTAAGATTTAGTTAGAAGAAAGTGGCTTGGGGGATATAGATAAACCTGATCAAGATCTCATATTTCCGACATCATTTCGAGTCTGCAAATAAACCTACTATGCTAAAACCATAGGGCTTTTAGACTTAACATCTTGGAAGTCCGATTAACAATCATGGATTGCCTCCTCTTGAAACAACCTGAGTAGACCGAATTGGAAGAATGTTTTGCAAATATACTTTTAAGTTTGCCATCAACAATTCATTAACAAAGAACTTGCAAACAACAACAACAACATCATCAAGCCTTTATCCCACTACATGGGGTCGGCTACATGAATCCTTTTTCTCCATTGTGTCCTATTAAAAGTCAAATTCTCGTTTAAATCTAATAAAGAAAGGTCATTCCTAATATTTTCTAACCATGTCTTTTTAGGTCTACCCCTACCTTTCTTAACATAAGTCAAATCTAATACCTCTACTCTCCTAACAGGGTCATCGGAAAGCCGCCGTTTTATGTGACCAAACCATCTAAGGCGACACTCTCTAATCTTATCTTCTACTGGAGCTACTCCAACCTTTT